TGCTGTTTGTGATAAAAGTGTCTGAAGAGTCGCAGACAATGAAATTTGTCATCAGGATCAGCATCATTAAGTTTTTTCAAGAACTCTAGTTCTTTTAAACCAGTCTTTTGCCTGAAATTAAAAAGAAAATTTGGTCAAAATTGAATATATACAAAATTTAAGAGAACTAAATAATATATATTTGCTACTATCAGTCTGATGTATCAAACGTGATGTGTGTTAAGCAGTTTGTATTTTTTTTAAGTACTGATAAGTCTGCTCAGGAATAAGCCTCTGTATCATTCACATAATAAATACTTTATATATAGCCAAGTATTATTTTCATGGATAAGAGTTAATTTCCAAAATTATCCACAAATAAAACAGAAACACTGAGGAACAAGTGCTTGAAGGGAAATCAATTTTTCACATTTATCTCAAAAGGACTTGACATAATTATTTTTAACAATATAGAACCACACTGTACACTAGTCTTCGTTCCTTAAGAACATAATAATGGATATGTCTCACCAAATTTTAGTATTTGGTTATATTATGAAATTCTAGTTATAATTTATTAATAAGCTACATTTTAAAGTGAATGTCTATAATACAGAAATTGGGGCTTCCAATCAAAACAAAACCAAAAAAAAAATCTTTCTAAGCCTAGGGCGATCTAAGACTTTAAACATTTCAACACCAAAAGCAGACTTTAATACTAGCTCCATGTGTGATATAGATTATGTGTTAAAACATACGGATATGGCAATTACCTATTTTACTGAAAAAAAGGCAACAATGAAACAAAAGATACAAAAATCCCATTATTTGATAAAGCAGTTTTTACTTTTTGCAGGCCACCAAATGTTCAGTGACAGCTAATTGATATGACCCTTTTATTTCTTACCTCTGGTCTTGACTTAAGATATTCACAGCAAAAGATGACATAAGACAAGCGGTAGAAGCAAGAGTCTAGGTTGATATTAGTGCACAAAGTAGGTACTGAAATGAATTAAATACAATCACCCTATTGTTCTAAATTAAAAACCTAGTCAAAAAGAATTCTTTTACTTTATAACTGCAATATTTATTTCACACAGATTGTCACACTTATTAAAAATGGCATTTAAAAATACGTCCATTTGTAAGTACCCATGTTATTAAAGGTTTCATCATATATTTCTTCTGAACTCACATAAGCTCATTGTTTCTGATGATCTTTACAGCCACTTCTTGGTTGGCTCTTGCATTATCTCTGGCTCGTACAACATTACTGAATACACCTTGTCCAGTGTAGCCATATACATTGTAACGCTTATCTAGGACTTCACCTATGTTCACACCTAAAAAGGCAAATTAAAACGCTCTTGCATTATCTCTGGCTCGTACAACATTACTGAATACACCTTGTCCAGTGTAGCCATACACATTGTAACGCTTATCTAGGACTTCACCTATGTTCACACCTAAAAAGGCAAATTAAAACAGAATTCTGACCATAGTAAGTAGAATCAGAAAGAAAACAAAAGCAGTGAAATCACTTAAAAATTGTGTCAAGTCTCTACTATGTGGTTTCCTAGACGCAATGGAGAATCAAAGCCATGCCTCTGCTAGTCATTCTTTTGTAATGTGGTTAGAAATTGCATGCCCGCTTCAGATCACTACAAAGATTTTCTGTTGTCCTATCAACTGCTGACGACTTTAACACTGAGTAGGAAAGAAATGTGTTCACTGAAGTGCTTCCAATTGTAGTCCTGCACGATAAATACTGCATGACTGGCATTCAAAGTTCCTTGTATGTCATTTTTCTTGGTTTCAGATCAAGACAGGCAAGTGATGTACCCCTTCCTTCTGGAGGATTATCTCAACGCTGAAAATAACTTTGAATAGATTTAGGTTGTACATCAAGTCTTTACCTCACCTCAATTTGTGATACTGCTGGGCTGCTTACCAGAATACAACATGGGTTCATGCAGCTGCTGGATGTGCCACACTTTTTAAGTGATGGCACTGTGATGTGATTTTTCAGAGTTCTCCAACAATGTGTGATTGCATCAAAGAACATTCTTTTACAGTGTTTTACAATGAACTCTAAAGTTACTAAGAAATGTGAACTTACGATAATAGCCTTCTGCATCAGTCCAGTTATCTCTGAGGTTGGGATTCTCTTTAAAGTCTTTTCCAATGCCAGCAGCCCGAAGACGAGCACTCTGAAATTAAGAAGGCAACATAAACTGTTTACCCACTAGTCAGACTTTTAAAGAACTTCCTTTAAAACAAAAAAGGGCAAAACCAGATCTACTTTAATAAAAGCATTTTATTCCAAATTAAATAGACTCTTACTTTCACTTGTGTAAGTATAATATAGCTGCAACACGATTACCCAAAGTCTCTTGTATCACTGTAACATTCATGGGAAAAAATTAACAAAACATCTTCATTTATGGATGATGTTCATTTATTTATAAAACATTTCATTTATGATTAGGGCATCATAAATGAAATTAAAAACTCAAAACCTGATCTGATTTTCCATAGCTGTTAGATAGACAGATCGGGCAAAAATAACAGACTGGCACTCAGTTAAAAACCACAGCACCTAACTCTCTCTCCTACTAATTTTCACCATTTCTTTCACTGCCCTGTCCATGGAGATAGCATCTGTGTGCTCTTCCCATACACGCATGAAATGTAGTGACATTCACTGGCTGCATTGGTTGAATCTGTGTGAAAAACTAAAAAGTAAGAATATCGAGTACTTCTGAAGAGTCTTTACTGGACATTACTTTCCATGATATTTAGAAGATCCTTCGATGTCATCCAGGCAAATGATGGGTGCCAATACTTTAACTGGCTCAATATTCAATTAATTCTCTCTCTCTTTTTTTTTTTTTTTGTCTTTTGTCTTTTTCCGTGTCCGGCAACGGATCGCAACCCTCAGTGTTGCCCCCGTACCGGACCGGGGACCGGCAACGGGATTGCAACCCTCGGTGTTGCTCC